AATTTCCTCATTCAGCAAATATTATTGATAATCATATTCCCAGTGGGAGGCCCATGGAAATCTGATATCATATTCTGGCTTAAAAATCCTATGATGGCTTCCAATTACTCAGGATAAAACACCTACTCCTGGAGCAGTTGGCTTCTGCCTGCTTCTCTAACCTCAGATTCCACAACCATCCCCTTCTACGCTTCAGCATACTAGACCTCTTTCAGTCTGCTTTAGAGGGATCAAGAAAGAAATTTCTGATTGTGTGTAATTTTTTTTGAAATTTACTTGAGTGGTTGGGGTGGGGGGATGGGGCAACTGGGTGAAAAATAATAATAATAATACATACATACGTAAAATTTGGCTTTTTGAAGGGAAAAAACTTAAAAATAAACCCAGACTCATTAGCAATCAGACATAAAACCATTTTATATCAGCACATAGAATCAAGCATACAATGGGTTAGAGAATATGGCACACATTTTGTTAGGGGGATTACTGAAAATTCTCTCTCTCAAATAAATACAATTTTTTTAAAAAAGTGAGTAAATTATCTATGGAAGAAAGTTACTTTAGGAAAGTCACTGGTGAGATAAGGACATCCCCATATTTTACCTAAAAACTGAAATGTACATAAAGTCATATCCACAATTAGACAATCGTTTCTTCCCTAACAAATTATGTATCAAAATATGTGTTGTAAAAGTTTTTTGATTAAAAGGATAAAGACCAAAAAAAAAAAAAGTTACTTAAGTGGTCTAAGCTTGTTTCCGTATCTATGAAATGGAACTAAAAAGAGTACCTCTCAGGGTTTTTGTGAGGGTAAGAAACAAGGATGCCTATAAAACAACGCTTAGCATCAGTCTGGGATAGACAACTGCTCAACACGCAGTAGCCATTTCCACCACTGCTGTTAGGAATGAGGCGTCAAGGGCAGCCGCGGTTCCGGCTTGGTCAGGGGGGCCCATGGTGGCGCTGTGTTGGGAGGTGAGGAACGCACACGGTGAGGAAGAGCAGGTTGGCAGAAGAGAAAGTGGTGATTTAAGTTAGCCATTGGGGCTCTGCCTGCCCCCCCTTGCCCTCCTCTAAAGACCCTCAAATCCTGAGACCTTCTAATCCAAAGTTTTTGGTGTTTTTTTTCCTAAAGGTTTTTAACTTGGGGTTTGTGGATGGTCTGTAGGGAGTGCCCAAATCCCGGGATTGTGTGTAAAATGCATTCTTCCCCTGAGAACACCAAAGCTTTTACCGGTCTCTCAGACAGATTTATGACCCCTGCCCCCCAACAAGGTGAAAACCACAGACCCAAACCATCTCTCTAATGTGACCCATGGCTGTCCCAACACTTGGTCCTCTGCCAAGGATGGGCTATTGTATGTCACACAGAAAGGGGAACCCACGAGGAAGACTGAGGCAACATAGCTAAGCTTCCAGGTCTCCAGATATAGCCCCTCCCACAGCCCCTATCGAGCCACATTTGGCACTATTATACTTCGTGAGCTGGTTCTCTACCCTATTTTTTTGGTCATCATGTGCACAAAATTGGATTAATCAAAATCCTTTTTCATGACACATTTTTATCATGTACAACATACTTTTATGCATAGCTTTTCACTCATTCAGTTGACAATAACCTAATCTAACTATATGTTCCCTCCAGCTCCATCCTGTCCCCCTTACCTGTGGGAACCATTATCCTGCATCCCATAGTGAGAACCCTTCCATCCTTTTTACATAGTTTTATGGTATATGTGTTTGTTAAAAATGTTTTTAAATTCTTAGTTGTATTTAACTCTAAAACATGACAGAGATACAAATTAAAACCACAATGAGGGTGGGGGGATGGGTTAGTCTGGTGATGGGTATTAAAGAGGGCACATTCTGTGTGGAGAACTGGGTGTTATGCACAAACAATGAGTCATGGAACACTACATCAAGAACTAATGATGTAATGTATGGTGATTAACATAACAATAAAAAATTAAAAAAAACACAATGAGATACTCAGAGACACCCACTGGAATACAGTTTAAAACTTACAAGGCACCTGGGTAGCTCAGATGGTTGAGCGTCTGCCTTCGGCTCAGGTCATGATCCCAGGGTCCTGGGATCGAGTCCCACATCGGGCTCCCTGCTCCTTGGGAGCCTGCTTCTCCCTCTGCCTCTCTCTCTCTCTCTCTGTCTCTCATGAATAAATAAAAAAATAAATTAAAAAAGTTAAAAAAAAAACTTACAATACCAACTATTAGCAAGGATGTGCAACAGAGCATTCTATCTTTTGTTTGAATCACCCATGATCTGTGTAAGGAATCTTGGCTTTGGGAGAGCTCAAATTAGAAGTTCACGGAAGGGTTTTTATGCTACTCTGGCCATGTAATCAAGCCAGAAACACGTAACCCGTTAGGCCAGTTATAAACCATTAGTAACGTAAGTTTACTTATTCACCGTAAGTAAACCAGTAAAAGGAAGTGACCCTGGAAGTCATCAGGGGAGCTTCAGACTTTAAATGGCACATTAGGAATTCTAGACTAGGCTAAACTCTAATGATAGAAAGCAGTGATTTCCTGGGACCAAGGACGGGGGAAGGGGATTGAGTGCAAAGGAGCACTGGGAAGTTTTTATCTTTTTTATTTTGTAAAGATTTTATTTATTTATTTGACAAGAGAGAGCACAAGTTGGGGGGGGCGGCAGGCAGAGGGAGAAGCAGGCTCTCCGATGAGCAAGTTCCGATGCGGGGCTCGGGGCTCTATCCCAGGACCCCGGGATCATGACCTGAGCCGAAGGCAGATGCTTAACCGACTGAGCCACCCAGGAGCCCCAAGGAAGCTTTTTAGAAGATAGAATTATTTTCTATATTTTGATGGTGATGGTGATTATATTATTATATATAATTATCAAAATTCATGAAACAGTACATTTAAAATTGATCAATTATATTGTCTGCAAATAATAACAAATTTTCATGTTTTCCTTTTTTTTTTTTTTAAATGGCATCATGCTACATTTAATCTTTTGGGACTGAACTTTTTTCATTTAATATTTTATTATAAAAGTTCATCCATACTGTTTTGTATCACTGTGGTTCATTTGACAGCCATATAATATGCCATTGTGTGAATATTCCAGTTTATTTGTCCACTCCGCTGCTCATGGGCATTTGCGTTTCCTTTTGGGATTGCTATGAACCAATCTTGTACAAATCTTCTGGTGTACATGTATGAGTTTCTCTTGGATTTATCCCTAGTATTGGAATAACTGTGCTGTAGAGTAAGTAGATGTTCAATTACAGGAGATAATCAAACTTTTTTCCAAAGTAGTTCTTTGCCTTTCCAACCTGAGTCAGTCTGTCCCCAGTTAGACTGGGAACCCAGGGGCAGGAGACCCAATCTTGAATTAGCACTGCTTTTAGCATTGTTAGCACCAGGCTGGATACCCAGGAGGCCAAGGGCAGAAACCCAGGCACCTGAGGCCTCCCAGCCTCAGCCAATACTGAGAGTAAACAGCAGGCGGGGGCCACATACCACACATGGAGGCTAATTAAAGTCCTACTCCCTGGAGCTCCATCTTCCTAGCTTCACTCGACTTTGAGTCTGAAAGCTGTTTCAGGGCACTCAGTTACAACACAAATCCCAAGAAAAGAGAAGGCTTAACCTTATCCAAAATCCTTCTCAGCTGACACCTCTAATACCGAAACAAGGATTAGCAGGAAAGGCATAAAGAACAAAATGAGTGACAGAAAGAAGAAGATGTGGGAAATAGAAAGTGGAAAGAACCAAGAACACAAGTATTCTAAAATTATGCTCCCTTTTCTGCACAAGGGCCAGTTTCTCAGGGAAAAAAATTTTTTTTAATTAAAAAAAGCAATAATTTGCAAGTGACCATTAAGTAATTTTTAATATCCCTGCCATTAAGGGATTACCTTCTTTATGTTTAGAGTTACAAAGACAACATAATTAGCATGCAGTCAGAATGATGTAATATTGCCCCAAACTGCACACCCTCGGGGAGGGGAGGCCCTGTGCTGCTGGGGAAGAGCTCTGAGGGACCTAGGGCTAGGCCAAACAACTAGAACCAGAGCTCAGCCACAGACCAGGAACAAGAAAAATAAAACAAAAAGCATAATATAACAGAAAAAGATATCAGATGCCTAGGTGCTCGGAAAGCAAAAGGAGGAGAGCTGCCATGAAGGAGGACAAGGAGTCTCATCTCCCACGGTCCCAACTGCCGCTACACCTCCAACAGCTCCCCGGCTACCTGTCCTACAGGAGCTCCAGGAACACCTGCTACATGGATGAACGACGGCAGAAGCACCCCGGAGAGGATCACAGCCCTGTGGTGGCGGCAGCTTCCCCCCCGCCCCGCTTTCCCGGGGCAGCAGTGCTGTGGGCGGCAGGAGCGGGAGAGCTTTCTCAGAGCTAGGAAGCGGATTATCATGATTGGCTTAACATTTTTAGTTGCTTGTTCCTTAAATTTGATCGTGGGCTGTCTGAAGGAACAACGGAGGCACGTTTGGGCCCATCGGTTGCTGAGGGCTGATCACACGAAGAACTCACTTCAAGTGTGAGAGATGCTCTGTCACCAGAGGTCTGCCACCAGGCTGCCACCAAGAGGTCTCCTTGGCGTTGGGGCCCTAGGAGCTGGTGCTCAGTAACAGCAGCTGGTACAAATGGCACTAACAGTACTTGAACTGACAGGAGGCCCCAACTACAGCCCCAACTCTATGGAGCTTCAACAGTTTTCTAAATTTTTTTTTTTAAGATTTTATTTATTTATTTGAGAGAGGGAATAAGATAGAGCATGAGAGGGGGGAGGGTCAGAGGGAGAAGCAGACTCCCCACTGAGCAGGGAGCCCGATGCAGGACTCGATCCCGGGACTCCAGGATCATGACCTAAGCCGAAGGCAGTCACCCAACCAACTGAGCCACCCAGGCGTCCTGGAGCTTCAATAGTTTTATTGGCTAAATGCTTCTTCCCAAGTTTACAGCTTAAAGTGTGGGCCTGCTCACTGGCTCCTCAGCTCTTAATGGGGCAGGAACCTTTAGCACAGGCTTAGAAACGGGGGGAGAGGGTATAATAAGTGAGTTAGAAACCTGCTGATGCTCTCACAATTGGACAGCAGGACAGAAAACTCCTACTTTCTAACGCTGAAAACTGTCTATAGAAAGACTTGAACAGGATGGCGATAGGACCCAGAGTGCATCTTTGCCACGGGTCTCAGTTTCTGGTGCCTCCATGGGAGTATACCCTTCACCCTCCTACACCAGGACTTCGGGAACAGGGTGATGCTATGTCAGCCTACACATTTTGCAGAAGTACATAGGCCCAAAATTGGCCAAGAGGTTTGGGATTACCAGCTCCCCAACCTGGCAGGATGGGAAGAAAGAAAATGTGTCCATGAAAAGCTTTCGGAAGTGAGTCAGGTCTTCCACCTGAACCTTGATGCTGTATTGATTGGCCAGGAACTCGATGGTGCCTTGCACCACATACTCGTTCTGTAAGTGTGAGAGTGAGCAGGTGGAATAGACAACATGGCCTCCTGGTTTGGTGGCAAGGAGTCCAGCCCTGAAACCAGAAAGAGAAAAGCAGTGACTACTGAGCCTCCCAGAAGCAGAAGGACAACACGGGGAGCTGGAAGCATGGACAGTAGAGTCTACTGTGGGATGGGCAGCTGTGTTAGCTTCTGAAGTCCCTTCCACATAGATACACCGGAAGAGTCATTCTCAAGGCAGAGAGCAACCCAGCCTTACTCCATGGGCTCTTGGCCAGAAGCAATCCCCTGAACTCTGACTCTGGTTATGGTCCAAACGCTGATGCTAGCTAGCTATGCACTGAGTCCTTACCAGCCCTACAGGGCCTTGACTTCAGTCACTTTTTTCAAGCTTTCAAACTTGTGCTACGCACTGGGACTGGGACTAGCATGGAGGTAAGGCATGAACGTAAATGAATCTGTGTGGCCCACCCTATGTGTGTCCTACCACATAGGGTTTTCATGTTCCAGAGGACCTTCCTATCATGTCTGTCTCCTCCAGGTAGTTCCTCGATCAGAAGACCCTCCTGGGGATGATGGTGTGGCAAGAGCTTCCGATCCCCCAGGCGACCAGCCCCCTGGAGCACTGCGGCACGAAGTCGAGAGTGTGGGTAAATCTGTTACTCACGCAAGCAGCTGCACCTGAAGCATAGGCAACATCTGCCGCTCCTTCTTCCTCGACCGCTGAAAGATGTTGTTCTCCTCCTCATGAAGGGAGTGGCGGTCTGTGGTACAGGGCACGTCCACCAGCACCTGCCCAGAAGTGGTAAAGGGCACAGTCTTAGAGCTCCTTACACACTCTCTCCCTTAGGCCCTTGCCCTGAGAGGTTTCCCACAGTGCTCCCTCTGCCCATCCTTCCGAGGCAGAGTATCTGACAAAGCTTCTCATTTTAATCTGGTAGACAACTGTGAAATAATGAGTGGGAAAACAGTATATTTAGGTATACTCATGGCTGGTCCAAAAGCCAAAGCCAATACCCAAATAACTATAATTAAATTAACTGATATCGACCTAGAAAGAAGTCTTTCTTTTCTTTTCTTTTTTTAAGATTTTATTTTTAAGTAATCACTACACCCAACATGGGACTCGAAGCTGAGATCAAGAGACCCGTGTTCTACCAACTGAGCCAGCCATGTGCTTCCTAGAAAGAAGTCTCTCATGCTCTAGGGTCCTTGGCTCTGTCCTTAGCTATTTGAATGAAACATCCAATTTACAGGTGATAGAATGCCCAGAAGGTAGCTAATAGACTGAATAACAGGATCAGGATTCAAAATTATTTTATGCTGAAACATCATATCCTATATGGAAAAGTTTTAAAGTGAGAAATATAAAATCATTCATGCATTCACTAAGAGCCTATATTCTGTGCTAGGCACAAGAGACAAAAACAAAAATTAAAACAAAAGAAAAAGTTCTATAATTTATGTTTCCAAAGAAATCATCTATGGAAGAGATCTGTGAATTTTAGTTAAGCAGAAACTCCAAGTAAATAAATAATGATAATGGAAGGCTGCAAGCACAGGCTGAGTAAGGATGACGGCTAGGTGTCTAATCTTCATGGCCAGGTACTGTGCTAAGTGCTTTCCTCCAACACACTCTATGAATCATCTGGATAGTCCTACAGAGCAATATTCCCTACTTTACAAATGAAGAGGCTGAAATCTCAGCAAGAGGAAGCAACTTGCCCAAAGTCAGTAAGTGGCAGCCCTGTGGTACAGACACGGGTTAGGTGGACAGCAGAAGGTCATGCTCTATCCACTCCGTTCTGCTGTCTCCATGTCAAAAAAGCTGAACTGGGGATTCCTACACAGGCAAGAAGCAGGCCTCTTAAGCCTATCCAAGATTCTATAAGCCTTAGTCTTTCAATTTCTTAGAGTGGTTGAGCCAGAATGGTGAGAACTGGACAGATTAGATCAACGAGTCAGATGACAATAGAGTGACAAGAGCTATACACTTTTTTATATTTTTAGAAGTATGTTTTAATAAATACTTTTAGAATATGCCAATTAAAAGAAAATGCAAATAACTTAAAGATAGGAAAAGACTTTCAACATCATTCATAATAAGAGAATATAAATTAGATGCTATCAGTTGGCAAAACCCAAAAAGTTTAAGAACACCAGTGGTGGCAGGATATGAAGACACGGAACTCTTCTGCATTACTGGTAGGAATGAAGCCGATGGAGCCTCCACAGAGAGTGATTTAGTACACTCTGTCAAAATCTTAGATGCATATAAACTGTTTTCCAGCAATGATACTTAAAAAGCATAAAACTTAAAAGGATTGAACCTCAGGGTACATTACTAAATGAAAAAACTACAAAGTTCAAATAGTGAAATTAATACACCACCACTCCTTTTTTCAAAAATACACATACATTGGGGCGCCTGGGTGGCTCAGTCGGTTGGGCATCCAACTCTTGATTTCGGCTCAGGTCATGATCTCAGTGTTGTGAGATCGGGCCCTGCATCGAGCTCTGGGCTGAGTGTGAAGCCTGCTTGAGATTCTCTCTCTCCCTCTGCCCCTTGCCCTGCTTGCGCGCACACATGTGCACACACTCTATCTCTCTAAAAAAAAAAGAACCACATACATTTGTATTTGTATATCCACAAAGGATACATCTTAAAGGATACAGAAGAAAATATAAACAATGGTCATCTGTGGGGAGAGGAAGGATGGCTGTGAGACAGGAGTAAAAGGGAAGCATACTTCTCACTAGATACCCTTTTGCACCTTCTGAATTTTGCACCATGTGCTGTATTAATATTCAAAAATAAATTAGCTTATTCATATTTATTTTAATCAGGGTTTCTGAGCAACCAAGTGAGTTGAGAAGTAAAATAAGTCTACTAACCCTTTCCCCACTCAGTCAGGTTCAAACTCTTTCCTGCTAATTGTCTCTAATGAAGATACTACCAACGATTGTGCAGATGGCTGTGTTCTCCCAATCACCCATGGAGAGGTGGCCAGGTCCAGAAATGGCCCTCCATCCTCAAATGTGGAGAGCTGGATCCTACCCGCTGAGGGCCTGGAGCTGGGATAGGAAGGCCAGATTTGGCTAGTTGGATGTCTTAGGTCAGGAATCACTCACCCGGTCATAGGTGTCCCCCTCCAGTTCTCCCCACTTCCTGCCATCCCATGAGGTGACTCGAACTCGATTTCTATCCCTGATATCTTGAGGCACATAGCTGTGAAGGACCCTCTGTAGTCTGCCTGTTCGAGAAGTGGACACATCATTGGCAGCGAGATTGCCTGTGGGAATATAAATTTTAGCATTGTTTTTTCTAATTCTGGAAAAAAATGCCATTGGAACCTTGATAGGGGTTGCACTGAATCTATAGATGGTTGTGGGTAGTAGGGACATTTTATGCCTGTGAGAATAAAGAAACTTCAAAGCCATGCCCCAACAAAACATCCCACCAGCAATGGTGCTGATGGAGAGTCAGACCAATTGTTGGGCATAGCCAATCATTGCAGACCCCAGGGGCAGAGGCAAGTGGAAAAGACATGTTTATTATGTACATGGCACAGTACTAGACACTCTAGAGCAGGGGTTGCAAAGGCAACCACAAACCCAGGCCAGAGAGGATATATAAATAAAGTAGACCAAGTGTGAATATTTCTAAATAAGTATGCTCTCTCCTACTTTTTTGAAATGTGTCTCTGTCTTCATCTTTGGCAGACACTACACATTATTTACCAAAAATTTTTTCCCTCTCATTCCTTAGTAATAGAACTCCAATTTTATTTGAGGGAAAGGGGAGCAATGTGCCCCATTTCTTCGCCTCCTTTTATAACTAAGTTATGACTAAGTTTTGGTCAATGAGATGTAGGCATAATTATTGTGTGGGACTTATGGGAAGATGTTTAAAAGAAGCTAACACAATTAGATGCACCCCTTTTAACCAATCTTTTCTTCCTGCCTTGAATCTGAATATGATAACTGGAGTTCTAGCAGCCATCTTGGACAATGAGGCAATCCTGAGGATGGAAGCCAGAAATAAAATAGGCTGCAAAAAGAAAGAAGGAGCCCAAGTCCCTGATGTTTGTGGAGACTCCATACCAGCCCTGGACTGCCTATATCCCAGCTCTCTTATATAAGAGAGAAAAACTTTTCTTCTTTAAGCCAGTTCATTGATTTTCTATTGTATATGGCAAACCTAATCCTAACTGATTCACCATCTATCTTTTATTTTCCCTTTTGTGACAGACACAAAGTTCAAGAAATAGTTCACTTTGCTCTTGGCTCTACTGTAAGAAAAAACATTACTGCAAGCTTGATGATAAATTGTGATTGATACCTGGCCTCAGAGTGAAGAAGTGAAAGGGAGAGGCAGGAACTATGGTGAAGAACTAGAGACTGCATACCTTATACCTTATGGGAGTGATCACTACCATGCCAGCTTAGTGTTCCCACAAAGATACAGAGTCCCAATTTTGAGGGCACTTAAAGAAGTAAAAATCGGATTCTCTGCTCAAGAGGAATTTGCAGAAGGACATGAACGGAGTACAGAAAAGCTGGGTTCCAGTTCTGGCTCTATCTCCAACTCAGGTAAAAGTATCTAATCTCTTTAGGACTCAATTTCCCCCTCCCTAAAATAGGAGGGCTAAACTAGGGAAACTCAGTTGCCTCCTTCCACTGGGATGAAGGACTCCCTTGGGTAAGGAGCTGGGAAGGGGGCAAGGTGCTGGTAATTTAGTACACCTTAGAAAAGCAACTCTCAATGACTTCTCCTTGGCTCTTCTCCTGCCTCTTATTTCAAGTTCCTCCTCTTCCAAGTAACCCCACCTCACTCATCCCCTTTCTCGTGGATTCCCACAGCACTCAGTCAGATCAGCACAGCCCAGCACAGAGGCTGGGCTCTCTTGCACTGGACTCATTAAACCCTGTGAACACTTTTTCTCCTCTCCCTCTGCACTTCCAAAAGGTAAGATCAAATGTGGTACCTTGCAATCACCCACAGGACCAACCATGAGGCTGGAAGCTAACCCAAACTGTGCAAGTTGGCTGACGAGAACTGGAAGAGAAGGGGCTAGCCCCACAAAAAAGGATCCACCAAAAGATCCACCATAAGGCAAGAGAAGCCTGACTGAGCTCCAGGGTGAGTGGAAAAACAACAGCCCCCGTCTGGATAGTTCTCAGGTCTCCAGGGAAAAAAGGCTGCCTGTTTTAAGGCAGGATGACAGCCAGTAGATAGCCGAAGTGAACACTTAAGAGTGCACATGGCCCGGGCTGGTGGCTGCAAGTACTGAGATGAATAAAACTTGGGTCTATTGCCAAGGAATTCATTCCTAAAGAGGGAGATGATGCATACCCGGTAAAGCTCTGGTGCAAGGCTAATGTGCCTAAGGTTGCCAGGTGACACCCATGGCACAGGAGCACAGGACACAGGCGTCACTTTGCAACCGGCCGGCAGAGGTCATGAGGGGAGACTTCCAGGAGGTAGCACACTTGAGCTGAGGCTGAAAGCTAAAAGGCTATAGGCAGGCCAGCTGGGCTAGAGTGGAGGGTATTCTAGAGAGAAAATGGAACAGGAGCAAAAGATGGACGCTGATTCAAATAACAGAGAGTAGCAGAATGTGGCTGAAGCACACAAAATCTGGGGAAGAATGACATAAAGCTATAAAGGGTGGCTGCAGATCTTACTGCTTTTGTTGGCAGACTAAGGAAACGAACCTAACCTTAGAGACAAAAGTAAACAGACACAGAGGAACGAAAGTGTCATGTGTAGATTGATCAGGGCCCTGGTTTAATCGGCCTTCGGAGACCTTGCTCGGCTGAGCAATATTTCTTGGCCAAGTGACAGAGGAAGAGAGGAGAAAACTGCAAACAAATATATACCACCTTAGCAAGTGAGCACTGTACCCCCTCTGACCCTGGGACCAGAGAGCCCATCCTCTTTGGGAGGCCCCTGACTGGGTGAGGGAGGGAACCCTCCCTGCCCAAGACACCAGGCCTCTGACTTACGGCAACAGCCAGTCTGAAGCAGTGCTAGTGTCTTTCCCCCGGGTGCTGCACATAAGTCAAGCACAGTGTTGCCAGGCTGTAGGCCAAGGGCCAGGACAGGCAGCAAGGAAGCAGCATCCATCAGGTAGTAGTCCATGACACCCAGGCTGCCAAGCCTAGAAGAGAGGAGACCACCTTAGAGTCAAATTCTAAGTCAGAAGACCCAATGGAAGTCAAGGCCACCAAGTCCATGCCCTCAGGGGCTACTGAGTTCTATTCAGCAAAAACTCATTTCTCAGACCCGCTCACTCACTCATCCATCCACACCGCAGCCAGAGTGACCCAGTTAAAACACAGATCGAGAGGTATCTGGCTGGCTCAGTCAGTGGAGCATGCAACTCTTGATCTCAGGGTTGTGGGGATTTTGTTGTTTTGTTTTGTCTAAGGATTTTATTTATTTATTAGAGAGAAAGTGCACACATTGTGGGGGGGAGAAGAAGAGGGGGAAGGAAAGGGACAAGCCAACTCATGCTGAGTTCGGAGCCAGATGCGGGGTCCAATCCCAGGACCCTGACCGAGATCATGACCCAAGCTGAAGCCAAGAGCCAGACGCCCAACCTACTGAGCCACTGAGGTGCCTCCAGGGTTGTGGGTTTGAGCCCCATGCTGGGTGCAGAGATCACTTAAAAATAAAATCTTAAAAACAAAACAAAACCCCACATATCAATTCACTCTAATCCAGCCAAGCTAGCCATCTTGCCCTTCCTTAATTAAGCCAGGTATGCTCTAATCTAAGGCTTTTATAGCTGTTCTACTTTCTACCCACAAAACTCTTCCCCCAAACAGCCCTGACTCTATTCCTCACTTTTTTCAGTCTCTCCTCAAAGTTCTCTCCACAAAAAGTTATCTCGTCAGAGAGGCAATGGCATTCCCTGACTACTCTATCTAAAAATAGCACCCCACCCCCATCACCCCCTATTTCTGTTACATTACTTTTCTTTAAAGCCTTATTGTTCACTTTATATACATGTACAGATGTGTGTGTGTGTGTGTGTGTGTGTCCTCTCCTCCTCCTCCGTCTTTAGAATGAAGGCAGAGACTTTGTTTGTTCACTGTAATAACCCCAGCACCTGAAACACCACGTGGCATATAGGAGGAACTCAGTCTTACTGGATTACATATTGAGACACAAAATTGTTTGTGGGTTTAGAGAAGAATGCCATCAATTGTGCCTCCGACAGTCACCTGAGTCAGGCCTGATGAAGAAATAGGCCCTCATTAGGTAAAGGAAGGGGAAGAAAAGGAAGAAGAGAGGAAGGAAGGAAGAAACAGGAGCATTCCAAGAGCAGAAAAAAAGAGTAAGCAAAGGCATGGAAGCAGAGAAACTCATAGCTCCTTTCCGAAACAGTGAGAAATCTGGTGTAGTAGAAATACAAGGTGAATGAGATTGAGGTTGGAAAACAGATAGAGGCCAGGTTGTAAAAAGCCTTAAACCCTATCCTAAGGAGTCTGGACTGTAACCTGCAGGCAGTTACCAAAGTTTGTAAAAAAAAAAAAAAAAGGGACATGATCATCTGAATAGAGTTTTAGAAAGCTAGGTGGGTTAGAAAGAACAAATTAGAAATAGACAAAGTGAGGGCGCCTGGGTGGCTCAGTTGGTTAAGCGACTGCCTTCAGCTCAGGTCATGATCCTGGAGTCCCGGGATCGAGTCCCACATCGGGCTCCCTGCTCAGCAGGGATTCTGCTTCTTCCTCTGACCCTCTTCCCTCTCGTGCTCTCTAGCTCTCATTCTCTCTCTAATAAATAAATAAAATCTTAAAAAAAAAAAAAGAAATAGACAAAGTGAGAAGGCTGTGATAAGAGTCCAAGGCAAGAAGATAGGCAGGAACCATGTGGGTACAGACAACAGACAACAGAAACCTAACAGTCACAGGACTCCTCACTCCCAGGCCAGTTTTCATAAGCCATTCTCCTGCCTGAGACACAGCTCAGCCATTGGGGACAGACTCAAGGAGACAGAAACCTGATCCTTGCTGCCCTGACAGGAAGGCTCTGGGAGAAAGATGTGACAAGACATGAGACATAGCACCACTGAGGATCCACCAAAAGAGCTACAGTCCCCAGGTTTGAGGTTGTGACACCTTCACAAGTAGACTCAGAGTATGGTGGGATATTTTCAAAGTCGAATCACATTTGGATTGTCCCTGAAGCTGTGTGCCTCGTGCCTCATGGAGAATGACAAGAAATCTGAGAAAAGCACAGAATTCCTGTCATACTAGCACAGGTCTATGAAACCCATTCTCATCAGTTCCTTCCTTTTTGAAGTGTCACTCAACCCTTTTTTGGTTCAGTTTTGAAATCTGCTGAAAGTTACAGTCCCTCTTTCAAAAAGAAAGGCACAACAATTTTTCAGATAATTACAGGAGATTCCTGGACTCCATAAATACATCCTTGACCTCCTGGGAGATTAGGATTCCCTTGATTTATATGGAACCTATCAAGACAAGAAGGAAACCCAAACCTCTCTGAGTAGAAGCCAAGCACCTCAGGCAACTTAGGAAACCACACGGTGCTGTGTCCACAGTTCTGCCTAAAACCAGTGCCTCTGAACTGATCTCCAACCCTGCCCCAATCTATCTCCCACCCATCCCAATTTACTAACATGATCTTCCTAAAGCATAACTTTGATGAGAAGAATACCACCAGTAAGAGATACTGTTTGTGAGTGCTATATTGTAGGTGCTGTACTGATGTCTCAGATACATCACTTCATTTAGTCCTCACTAGGACCCTGTGAGGCAGGAGAACCCAGATTCCAGAGTCAGACCATCTGGATCCAGCCCAGCTGCTCAACAATTGTGTGCCTTTAGCAAATAATTCAACTTCTCTGTGCATCAGTGTCCTCGTCTGTAATAAGAGTGCCTACCAGACAGGATGATTGTGAGGATTAAAGGAATTAACAGAAGTTATGTGCTTAGAACAATAGCTGGCACATGAGCTAGATAGAGTATCAGTGTCATTATTTTCCAGATTTGTTTCCAGATAAGGAAACCAAGGGTCAGTTATCCAAAGCTACATGCCCAGTAAGTGATGAAGGCAAAATCCAAATCTAGGTTTTCTTGACTCCAAATCCCATGCTTATAACCACTGTGCATTACTGCCTTTCCCCTACTCAAAAATCCTTTCCAGTGGTTCTATAGAACAAATCTTGGCAATTTACAGCAATATGGAACTAAAGGGTGCATGGTCTGAAGCCATCCAGCCCTAGCAAGTCTAGCCATTTATAAGCAACCCTGGGCCATCAGAAAAATCCCCTTCTCCAAACCTGTAAGTTCCTGGCATTCAAGATTCCCATTCATGGCCCCCCCACATACTCTTCTAGCCCCACCTCCTAGTTTTCCTAAGCATGCAGCCTTCCCTCAAGCCAGTAGCTACAACTATTGCAAAAGCTTCCTAATTTACATCCTCATTTCATATGTCATACATAGCCCTGCCCCTCTCCAATCTGTTTTCCACACAGCAGTCAGAATTTTAAAAATTCAAATCTGGTCATGTCCTTCCCCACCTTAAAACTTTTCATGACTCCCTCTTTCTTTTAGAGAAAAAGTCCAAAATCCCACATAGCCTAGAAGACCTTCAAAATCTGGCTTCTGCCAGCTTCTGTAGCCTCGCACCCCCATCCCCACCCTCATGCCACCAGCTTTAATTCCTACTCATTTTCAGGTCTTAGCTTAAATTTCATTTCCTCAGAAAAGACTGGGTTAGATCTCCTAATTATAAAATTTCAGAGTATCTTGTACTTTTCCTTCGTAGCACTTATCACAATTATAGTTTCTTAACTGTTGTCTTCCTCACTAGACCGTAAGTTCCACGAAAGCTTCAGCTGAGCACTGGATGAGAAGACCAGAAGTCCCCTCATCACCAACCCCTCTGGTACTAACTTTGTGTCCCAAGGTAAGTCTCCCTCGTTCTTTGGTACCAGGAGGTTACTTGTCCTGCTCACTTGGATGCATGGCTAAGAGGGCAAAACGAGAAAGCAGTTGCAAATTAATACACATTTTAACTGTAGAGGGCACAGGAAGTGCGCAAATTAGAGATGGCTGTCTTCCATAGGGGAAAACCCCAGGTTCTGGGGTCAACCTGCCTGGGTCTAAATACTAGCTGTACCACTTGCTCTCCCAGGGACCTAAAGCAAGCAAGTACCTTAACTTCTCTGCACCTGTCTCCTCAAATGTAAAAGGGGAACAATAAGATTACCTACCTCAGAGGGCTGTTGACAGAACAAAAGGAGATAACGCACACACAACACTTAGAAAAACACCTAGCATGTATAAGCACTCGAAAAATATCAGCAATATTATGATCCTCATGAAACAGGACAAGAGCTGGGTCTCTTTCTGTCTACTTCCAGCACACTCAGGACAACCCCAGATCCTACCTGGCAGGAGGGAACCGACTGACATCCCCTCTGGCAAAAGTGAAGCATCGAAGGTTCGGGCTGTAGGCCCCGGAGGCTGGAGTTGGAGTTGGAGTCTGGCCACCCTCGGGCTCCAGTTCCCCGTGGGAAATGGCGTCCTTCACAAAGTCCCTGGCCCTCAGTTGCTCCAGCTCACCACTCACATGATCCCAGGCAGCAAAGTTATTAACCAGTGCACCATACTTCTGCTCTGAAAGGAGACTGACCCGGATGGATGGCCAGAGATCACCAAATTGCACACTGTAGGTCATGTCAAAATTCTGCAGAGCCAGTTGAGTGGCAGGAAATTTGGGCTCTGTGGCAGCCTGAAAGGAAAAGAACAGGTCTTCCAGTCTTGCCTCTCCCCTACCACCTGACCTCACCAATACCTTGGAGCCCTGCAGCAAATGTGGATCCAGCTACTGCCCACTCCTCCCTTTGCATCCTGCCTCTGCCAGCCAGAAAAGAAGTATGAAAGAGAAAAGTAGCGGGGAGCTGGCCTGTCTCAGGGTTGTGAGAAAGCAAGCTGTAGCTCTCACAACGGCATGTGTGGGTCACCAAGAAAGGGGGCAATCCTTGAGGCCTGGGAGTAAGAAGAACTTAAGAGAATGGGAGCTCACGATAGGACTTTTGAGGAGAGTCTACAGAAGGTTGGAAGAAACTATGAGGGCCCTGGGGGAAGCCTCAGCCTTAAAAACAAAAGATGCTTTCTCTCTGAACAGCCCTTCCATCTTCTAAGGCATTTTCTTGTCTCCTAGCTTATGTGAGCACCACAAAAGACAGACAGCTCAGTGGGATACAAATATCAACCTTCCACATTTGATGGAAAGATAAAGGTAACTTACCTAAGGTCATGCAGTGACTGACACCATAGTGCTCAGAATCATAGGGTTGAGGGTCATTTTGGGGGAGTTCCTAGAGCCCAGGAAGGTGGGATAAGGAGAACTCCCAGAAACCTTGTGGTGTAAACCAAAACAGGGACTTTTATGGGGGTAGCAGAGAGCGACAGGATTCAGGCGTGCAGAGCATAAACATAGATTAAAAGGAAAATGAAGACATCAGCTGAGGGGTCCTCAGGTAGGTTCTTGTTGCCACAGCTGGGACACTCGGTTGGGCCAGCAGTCCTATTACTGTCAATTCATTTTGCTCTGGCCTACACTTTGGTTTGGTCAGAACTCTTCCTCTGGCCCTCATTTCTTGTTATGGCAGGGACTCTTGCTCTGACCATGACTTTTGCCGGGGCGGGGACTATTGCTCCGGCTCTTGCTACGGTGGGGACTCTTGCCGTGGCCCCGCCTTTTGCCATGGTGGGGACTCTTACTTCGGCTCCGACTTTCACCACGGAGGGCACTCTTGCCCGTGCCCTGACTTTTGCTACGTTGAGAACTCTCACTCTGGCCCTGATTTCCATTACACTGAGGACTCTCGCTCTTATCCTGACTTATGCTTTGGTGGGGACTACTGCTCCGGCTCCGGCTTCTCTCCAACTTCTCTTTCCGGCTCTGACTTCTTTGAGGGTGGAGACTCTTGCTTTGACTTTGACTTCTGCTGGGGTGGTGGCTATTCTCACTCCGGTCCCGATTTCTGCTTTGGTGGGTATTCTTGCCCTGGTTGTCACTACTCTGGCATTCACTACTAAAAACAGCTGAACTGCAGCTGAGATCAGTGCTACAGCTGGAAGTCTTGGTAGAAGGCAAAGGACAGCTATAGGGAACCTGGGGGCGCTCTTCACAGCAGCCTCGAGGAGCCACAGAGTAGACATGGAGGCCACAGGGCATGGTGTCACAGGCCACAGGGTGGCACCGGGCTTGGGGGACAATGGGTAAACTTTGAGGATCAAAGGGTGCTCGCAAAGGGATAAAAGAATAGATGTGGGTGGAACAGGGAGGTGGCACAGGCTGGCGATGAGGTTGGGGTGGGCCCCTGGGAGTGCTATAGATGCCACAGGGGGGCACCATGGTCAGTTTATGACACTGAGGGGGACCAAGGAGTGGGCAAGGATCAGAGGTGGGGGGAACCACAGAATACATATGGGTATTGCATGGGGGTCCTATGGGGAGTCCATAGGAGGTGCTCTGAACATAACTATTGGGTGGGACGGGACAAAGAGGAAGGCGAAGGGGAAGACAAGTGGGGAGAACAGGTTTGAGGGTTTTAGGGATCACAGTAGGTAAGGCAGGTCCTTGGGGAAGTTCTTTGGGGCAGGGATTTGAGCAAGTGGTAATGGATGTCACCATACAAGAAGGCCCAGAAGGGCAGGAGGGAGGTGGAGGAGAGGCACTGGCCTTAGGGGGCCTGGGCAGGTTAAGAGGAGTGTGCTGGAGAGGGATGATCAGGGAGCGACATCTGTGGAGAGCACGTGGTTGTTTTAACTCTGAGGATTTGGGGGACTTCACTTGTGGGCCAGCTGGGGTAGGGAGAGGGGGTTCGTTATAGCTTCTGCGGGGGGGTGACTGGGGTGGAGATATAAACTGGTTGCCCCGGGGTGAAGGGACGAAGACAGAATAAGGACAGTGAGAGGACAGGGGAAGAGGTGGTCCCTGGGGACAGGGGGGGCAAGAAATCGTGGTGCCTGGCTCTACAAAGAGGCAAGAGTTCCCACCAGTCTCCCAGGCGAAAATGGACTCAAAGCAAGGCTTCACTGGAGCCTGGGACTGGGGTGAGCAAGGAGAACCAGTACTCCTAGCAGGTAGACGGACGGCACAACAAGGGCTACCAGGGGCAGCTATACGGGCCTCTTGAGAAAAATGGGAATAGTGAAAAAAGCCCTCCTGAGGTGAGCTGGGAGAGCCGGGTGTGCCTGCCTGAGAAGAAAGTCGGAAGCCACAGCAACTTTTCCCAAGAGGCAAGTCAAGCTGTGGTTTAGGTTCACAAGGGTCTGGAGGCTTAAGGCGGCTACAGCAAAAGCTGCCAGTGTGCGGGGAAGATGCAGGGGAAGGTGGAGGGTCATTGTAACTTCTGCCTGAGGACCAGGGGCAGAGCAGAGGGGAGAACCGGGGCCCAGTTTCCAAAACCCTGGGAGAAAGGGGTGGGGACGCTACAGCTCTAATTTCCATGGGCCGGTGAGCAAGAGGAGGTGAAATAACCACAGCAGTTCCCAGTGGCCTATGAGTAAGAGTAGGTGAAATGATGGGGCAAGTTCCCTGGGACCCAGGAGTGATGGAAGATGAAATCATGGGGCCAGTTTCCAAAGGCCCATGAGGGAGGATAGGAGAAGTCACCCAGCTGGTTCCCAAGGGCCGATGAGGGAGAGTAGGGGAAGTCACCGGGCTGGTTACCAGGACTGAAGGGTATCCACCACAATAACAGAGGCAAGTCTGCTGGTCAATGCAAGGGCTTCGGGGACAGGGATGCGGTGTTCTCGGGGGACTGATCCAGCTGCAATAAGGGCTCCGCGGACGAACAGGGGGTGACCCCAGAAGGCTGAATGGCTCAAAACAAGGGCTCAAAGGGGGCGAACCAGAGAGGATAGGCTCGCAGCAGAAAGGCCTTCCAAGGAGTGGAGAACGTGGTTCAAAAGAACATCTCCCCGGGCGCAGGGGAGGCTGTGAAGGTTGGGAGGGGGGCGGTGGGGGCGGGGAGGGAATCGGTGGAGGTAGGGAGGGGGTTGTGGCGGTTAGGGAAGAAATTCCTGGCCTACAGGTGAGGCCAGAGAAAGGGTCTCTGGAGAAGTGGGGAGAGTCCAGGGGGAGAGGGGAGTCGCTGCACCCTTTGCCTGAGTTTGGGGAAAGGCCAGGAGTATGGGCAGGGTGATCGCTGTAACCTTTCCTGGACGCCAGAGGCTGCTCGAGGGTGAGGATGGGGTTGAATCCTTTCTTGGAGGGCGGCGCAGACCCAGGAAGGGAGGGGTTGTCGCTAAAACATTTTTCGAGGGGTGAGGGCGGCGGGGCTGAAAGTTCTAGGAGGAAAGGCGGAGAAGAGGTCATGGAGGGAGGGAGAAAGGGGGGACTGGGTAGGAAAGAAGGGGAGGCAGGGGGGGAGAGGGAGGAGGGGAAGTGGGAGGGGTAGTGGGGGCCAAGGGGAAGGTAACCGAGAGCCGGGAACAAGAGGCGGTGACACAACTGAAAGAATGAGGGCGGCGGTGATGACGTAACTTAGAGGGGCGGAGGCGGGAGGACTCAGACGTAACCCGAGCGGCAGCCCGAGCCTTGTGACGAAATAAAAGGGCGATAAAAGCGAATACGTAACAGATGTGAAAGAGAGGAGCCTAGTGACGCACCCGGAGGGGCGGGGAAAAGAGGCCGAAGGCGTTCCAGAGGGACGGGAGCAGTGAACCTATCCGAAAGGGGTGGGAAGTGGCGGGGCTGGAGAAGTTTCCCGAGGGGTGGTGGCAAAAGGCCGCTATCGCTGTTCCCTCCTGGGCCACCGGCCGGACCTTACCCATTTCTTCTTATGTCGATGTCTCCGCGGGATGGTCGCGAAGTGTGCACGCTTCAGCACGTCCCGAACTCTTCTCACTACCAGCGCAGCCATTTCAGCGCGCACCGCCGAATAATTCCGACCGGAACCGCAACGGCGGACCCGCGGGTTCCGGAGAGGTGGTGGCGCCAATCTGGGCGAAAATCGGAGGGAATTCCGGCGCTCTCTCTTCCGGGGTTCAGCCCACCTTTACAAACCAGGTGCAAACCCCGCTCCGCCGGGGATCTTCTGTGGGTCTTGGGAAAGAGCAACCACTCGCACAGAAAGATGCCTCTGTTTGGAGCATTGGGAGAGAGTGCGTAAAGGCCCCTAACCCAGTTGGGGGAGCAGAGAGGACTAGGCGCTGGCAGTTGAGTAAAGAGTTAGCTAGGCAAAAAGGGGCGGGAAGGTACTTCCAAGCAGAAAGATCCTGAGGTAGAGAAAAACGAGGACAGGTTTGTGGGCAGAGGCGGATTTATAGTGGAGCTAACGAAGCTTGAAGAACCTGTCATTTGAATTGCCCCTTCCAAGGCTCTGTCCTTAATATTATATTGTTTTTCTTACCAAGAGGGCCCTTGAATTGTGTAAGCTGTAGGCGCCACAGAACTTGACTTCACCATAGGGAGCCAGTAGAAAGGAAGGATATGATCAGACAGGTGTTTTTAAAAATGATCATCTGGGAGCTTACCGGTTGGTGCATACACCGAAGTGCTGGGAGAGAGCATGGAAGCTCCGTGTCCTTTCCCTATCTATACCTTGCACTATGCATCTCTTTCATCTGACTGTCCTGAGTTACATCCTTTAGTAATAAACCAGTGATCAAGTGAGAAACGGGTCTTCTGAGAGCTATGAGCGGCTCCAGCAAGTTACTAGAGCCCAAGGAGGGGGTCGTGGGGACCTCTGATCTCTACGTAGTGAGTCAGAAGTACAGATGTGAGCTGTCAGCCAGTGGAGCTTAAGTATTCAAAAGTAATCAGTCACTATTTCAAACTCCATCGAAGAGTCATATCGCTTTCAGAAGGCAGGAAATTTGGGTACATTTTTACTGGAGTTACAGGAGTGATGAAGCAAGTGTGAATTTTAAGACAACAATCTCTTCACTACCATAGAAAATTAGAAGTAGTGAAGAAACTGTAGCACTTTGAGCTTTTCCAGTATTTTATGGATTGTGAACTGTCAAAGCTACATGTGAATGAGGGAATTTTTAACCTTTGCTCAAACGGTGTTCTTTTTTTTTTTTTTAAAGATTTTATTTATTTGTCAGAGAGAGAGCAAGAGCAAGCACAAGCCTGGGGAGAGCACAAGCAGGGTGAGCAGCGGCAGGCAGGAGGAGAAATAGGCTCCCCGCTGAGCAAGGAGCCCCATCTGGGACTTGATCCCAGGAGCCTGGGATCATGACCTGAGCCAAAGGCAGACGCTCAACCAACTGAGCCACCCAGGCTTCCCTAAACAGTATTATTCTTAATGTGAGTTGTAAAGTTCCAGTGAAAAACATACACCTTTATTTCCACATTTACAGGAGTAGTTACCAAAACTTTAAATATCACAAATAGAATCTTATGTTTATCACTAAAAAAAAAAAAGAAAAATCATCTGACAGTTGATGATCAGAGTAAATAGGATTATGGCAGGGAGATCAGATGAGAGAAGATGGTTCTGGATTAGTGTAGTGCTAGTGAAGATAGAAAAGGATTGATTACACTTACAATTCAGAGAGAATTACAGGATTTGTTGATTGGCCCCATCTGTTTAAACCAGTACATGCTACACCACCAGTGTAGCTGTCCTCTTAACCTGCTTTTATTATATTATGTATTTTTTTATATAGTCTGCTAAATTATAATTTTCAAAAGATTGGAAACATAAGTCTTATACAGAGATAAAATGAACACATGCCAAAGATTTTATTTATCATAATAAACTGCTTCTCCATTATTATCCTAAATAATGAGGGAACCAGCTAGATGGTAAGACTTGTTCAAATGAGGGGCACCTGGGTGGCTCAGTCGTTAAGCGTCTGCCTTCCGCTCAGGTCATGATCGCAGGGTCCTGGAATCGAGCCCCACATCAGGCTCCCTGCTCCGTGGGAAGCCTGCTTCTCCCTCTCCCACTCCCCCTGCTTGTGTTCCCTCTCTTGCTGTCTCACTCTCTCTGTCAAATGAATAATAAATAAAATCTTAAAAAAAAAAAGACTTGCTCAAATGAGAATTTGAGTTTAAGAGATTTAGGTTATCAGCCAAAGGAATACTGAAATGAATTTGCTAAGAGTTGTAAAAACATTAACATCTTATTAAGTAATAAACTGTAATGCTTATTGCTTCTACCAGATGGAAACCAATTCCATCTCTACTGATCAAAATTCAGTTGCATTACTATGGCTAGGAATCATTTGCGTTGCCATGGGTTTTCTACAAGTTAACCTTTACCCCTACAAAGTTCTGCAGTAGCCTAGTCAATATAAAATCTATCAAAGGTATACCCTAGCACTACGGTGAAGGAGCACCCAGTAATTCTCTTCTGCCCCTTTACAAGTTCTGGACAATTTTTCTTACTATTTTTCCCCTCACTAGAATGTAAGATTTTAAAAATCAAGGATTTTGTTTATTCATTGTTGAATTATCAGCACCTAGAACTGTGTATGGTACGTATTTGGCTCTCAATAAATATTTATTGAATAAGTGAGTGAGTCAGTGAAAGATGAGAAATTTGTTACAGGGACCTAGCAGTTGTAAGATGGAGGGAGATATGTGTCTAGAGAAAAGCCTTTTTTAAAAAAAGTTCACGGCAGCTCTTTCTGCCCACCAGCCCTGTCCCCATGCTATCATAAAAACACTTTTTTGCACCAAAAGAAAGACAGAAAGAAAAAAGGATTGGCTCATGACATTTAAATCCAGATAAGGATCCAGTGAGCAGAGATTGAATACACTAAATAGGAGGTATCCCAGAATACCTGTTCTCAAAGGTTTATACCAAATATGGAGTGTCAGGACCACAACCACCATCTCCTTGTGAAGGACCCCTTCCAACCCCCAGTCTCCTCAGTTTACCCATTGGCGCCTGGGTGGCTCTGTCTTCGGCTCAATTTGGCTCTCTGCTCAGCAGGGAGCCTGCTTTTCCTTCTCCCTCTGCAGCTCCCCCTGCTTGTGCTCTCTTAAATAAACAATAAATAAAAATCTTTAAAAAAGAAAAATCTTTAATCTTTTTTTTTTTAAAGATTTATTTATTTATTTATTTGAGAGAGAGAGTGAATGAGAGATAGAGAGCACAAGAGGGAAGAGGGTCAGAGGGAGAAGCAGACTCCCTGCTGAGCAGAGAGCCCGATGTGGGACTCGATCCCGGGACTCCAGGATCATGACCTGAGCCGAAGGCAGTCGCTTAACCAACTGAGCCACCCAGGCGCCCCAAAAAGAAAAATCTTTAAATATTAGGATGCTTTTAAGCTCACAGTAGTGGGTGCAAGTTTTTCAAAATCCTAATTTATTTTATTTAAGTAATCTCTATGCCGAACATGGGGCTCAAACCCACAACCCTGAGATCAAGAGTTGCACACTCCACCAACTGAGCCAGCCAGGCGCCCCTCCCAATCCTCATTTTGCTTGAAAGCTCAATTTTTATCTCTGACAACTAGTACTATCAATTGTTTTCCTTGAAGTGACAGACTTACTTTGTTCATTTTTCAAGAAAATGCTATTAAAATATAATTGATTTTTTTTATATAATTGATTTTTGTCTATTGATCTTATATCCTGAGATCTTGCTAAGCTAAATTATGTTTTGGTAACTTTTTTGGAAATATTTTTACCTTTTCTATACATGAGGTTATGTCTTCTATAAAGACACTTTTTTTTCCTTTACATCATTTTACTTTTATAATTTACAGTACATATTTCAATACAGGTGTTAGTAGACTGACTTGTGTCCATTCTTCGGGGGAAAGCATTCAGTATTTCATCATTATATATGATGTTAACTATAGCTTTTTTTTTTTTACAACAGGTATCATTTACTAGATTGAGAAAGTTGCCTTCTTTTCTAGTTTGCCAAGATTTTTTTAAAAATCATGAATGAGGGGCACCTGGGTGGCTCTTTCTTTAAGCGTCTGCCTTCGGCTCAGGTCATGATCCCAGGGTCCTGAAATCAAGCCCCACATTGGGCTCCCTGCTCAGCGGGAAGCCTGCTTCTCCCTCTCCCACTCCCCTTCCTGGTGTTCCCTCTCTCGCTGTGTCTCTGTCAAATAAATAAATAAAATCTTTAAAAAAAAATAAATAAAAATCATGAATGGTTGTTGACTTTCTTCAAATGCTTTTCCTGCATTTATTGAGTTGATCATAGGTTGTTTTCTGCTTTATCGTTAATATGATGAATTATATTGACTAATTTTCAAATGATGAACCAACTTGGCATTCCTGTAAAAAAACATACAAGTTCATGATGAATTATTCTTTTTATATATTGTTACATTCTTGCATTTGTGTTCATGGAGCATAATGACCAGAAATTTTCTTTCTGTAATATCTTTGATTTTGATGTAGGGTAATGCTGAACTCATAAATGAGTTTGTGAACTATCCTTTCACTTCTCTTTTCTGAAAGAATTTTCATAGAATTGGTATCATTTCTTCCTTAAATTATTATTATTTTTTAGTTTTATTTATTTATCTCTCCACCTAATGTGGGGCTCAAACTCACAACCCCAAGATCAAGAGTCACATGCTCTTCCAACTGAGCCAGCCAGGCACCACTCTTCCTTAAATTCTTGCGAATTCAGCAGTGAAGCCTTCTGGGACTGGAGTTGGGTGTTTGGCTTTTTTTGTTTTTGTTTTGCAGGGGTGGGGAGTACAGGGTGAGGAGGAAGGGAAGGTTTTTAATTATGAGTTCAATTTCTTTCGTTGATATAGGGCAGTGATTTTCAACCAGAGATGATGCCCCTTCCCCAGGGGACACTTGGTAACCTCTGGAGATATTTGGGATTATTATAACTAGACAGTGCTTCTGGCATCTGGTGGGTAGAAGCCAGGGATACTGCTGCAAACCCTATGCCCCCACACAAAGAATTATCTAGCCCAAAATGTCAAAACTGCTAAAATTTGAGAAAC